GGAAACCTGTAATTATTTTACACAATACTAGGATTCCTGGTGTCTTTTGTTTCTGTCTCATAAACACGTAAGATGGTAAGTACACCTTCCTAATACTACTTAGACTTAGTTCATACTACTCTCTCTCTCTCTCTCTCTCTCTCTCTCTCAGTTCCGTAAGAGATTCTTGTTCTCACTGTCTATCACCACCTGTTAGTATCTGCAGTGTGTGTGTGTGTGTGTGTGTGTGTGCATTTTTTTACTAGATTTTTAAAAAGATCTCGTAACATCTCATAATTTTGTATGTTGTTGTCATGTCTCCTCGTGTCAGTGATCTTGTATGTTGTGTTAGGTAATTGTTTGTCTTTATTATGGTGGTACCTTTACCTTTGCCTTTGAAGAGTTTCGAGAGTTTCACTGCTCTCGGAGTAGTGAAACTTTCGAAACCAGAGAAGCACCAGACGAGCCTGGCCATGGGCCAGGCTTGTCTGGTGCTTTTCTGGTCAACTAGGCTGTTGCTGCTGGAGGCCCGCTGCCCCACATATCCATCACAGCCTGGTTAATCTGGCACCTGGTGAAGATACTTGTCCAGTTTCCTCTTGAAGGCTTCTATACATGTTCCAGCCGTGTTTCTGATATCTTCTGGTAAGATGTTAAATAGTCTGGGACCCCGGATGTTGATACAGTGTTCCCTTATTGTCCCCACCGCACCCCTGCTCCTCACTGGGTTTATTTTGCACTTCCTCCCATATCTCTCACTGCAGTATGATGTTATGGCTGTGTGCAGATTTGAGACCAGGCCCCCGAGTACTTTCCAGGTATATATTATCATGTATCCTCCGCTCCACTGAGTACATGTTCAAGACTAGAAGGCGTTACTCAAGAAATCGTAATGACACGATTGCAAACAAACCATACCCGCGGCCGGGATTGAACCCGCGGTCATAGAGTCTCAAAACTCCAGCCCGTCGCGTTAGCCACTAGACCAGCTAGTGAAGGGACTTGAGCTAGAGTTCGTCACGGCCACGCTAGCTGGAGATTCGTCTGTAAAAACTTGCATTTGTGGTCACAGTGGTGCCTGTGCTAACCTTCCTATGGTGTAGAAATATACCTAGTTGGATGAATCTTATTGTGGCTAGCTGGTCTAGTGGCTAACGCGACGGGCTGGAGTTTTGAGACTCTATGACCGCGGGTTCAATCCCGGCCGGGGGTATGGTTTTCTAGAAGGCGTTCCCAGTAATTTAGATGTTTTACTGGCTCATTGTGCGCCGTAAACGATCTCAGTATTTGTTCCTGCTCTGATATTTCTCCTGCTTCTCCGACCACTGCATCAGTGGTCGGAGAAGTGGCAGATACAGTTTAATATAGACAAATGCAAAGTTCTAAATGTTGGACAGGAAAATAACCATGCTACTTATAAACTAAATAATGTAGATCTTAATATTGCGGATTGCGAAAGGATTTAGGAGTTCTGGTT